TTCACTGTTTTTGACTTCCTTTGATTTGCAACACAAAAACGAATCGTTAAACGCTATAAATGTTGTTTTTGTCATATAGGTAAGGAACAGTAATTAATGAAAATCAACTGAATTTTAATTTTAAAACAAAATAAGAATACCCGAAATGTGCTAAGTACTAAATGTGTATATGAAAAACAAAAGGGAACTAATCTTCTTGTTGAGTATCAACATACCACCTAAATGCGATGATTGTTTATGCCAGAAATATTCGAGATATTCGACTGTTGAGAACCACAGCAGCAGACGCCATCACCTGTTTCACCCACCAGCACATGTGTTTCAGATGAGAAACGTCTAAGTGACGGCTATCACGGGGATAACGTGACGTGACACAGACCTACCAGGTTATCGCCGTCATTGTTAAGGAAGTTGGAGCATCGCTGGGCCAAGTTTATCGTTTATTTTTTTTTTTTATTTTGTGTGCTATGTTTTTATTTAAATATAATAACCTTCCTAAACAATACTAACATTTCTTCAGAAATGTTAAAATCATAAAAACGGATGCTCTCTCGCCTCTATGATTTAGATACAATATAGCCCATCTAAAGCCCAGAGTATATTTAGATAAAATACCAAATATTGCATTATTCAAATACATCCCAAAAGTATATGCAWTAAGTTGTGCAATAGGAACTGGTTAGAAAGCTCTGTAAACGTTTCGATTGCATTACAAATTCTTACACCAAGAACTGGACAATACTGACGCGGCAAAACAAAATTGCTGCAGTCTTCTAAAGTAAAGTCATTACGAAATTTGTCCATAACGAGTAGCGAGTGTGTGGCGAAACTGAAAATTGGTCGCATAATTGCACAGACTGTCAGGAGAGCGGTTCAGAGGTGTCAGGTGGCATGCGCATGCGTTGCGTATTCGCCAAATAACCGTGCAGACAAGTTAGCAGGCAACTAAGCAACATACGTACATACATACATACATAAGCAAACAAACAAGCAGCTTTGTACATGCGTTTATAAGTGCTGATGCAATTACGACTGAAGCAACACACAGCGCCAAGGCGGAAGAATAGCGAAGGTARCTACCGCTAACCAACGTTATGCGCCAGCGTGATGTTATTTTTCTTGCAATGAATTCCCCTGTAGCTGCTAACTGTGCGATCAGTGAACGCGTTAGTGAAATGCAAACACAATAAATGCGCCGCACATGCGCATTTCATATCCGCATATTACCGCTAATGATTCGCCTAGCAAAACTTGTTGCACCCAGATGGCTGGCAAATACACAGCGCATATGAAGGCAGTGAACTGCAAAGATTTTCGCCCAACTTCACTTGCACGTTCTTCGYTTCAATTAACGCTGGAGGATTTTTTAATACATTTCTACATTTTTGCAATTCTCTCTTCTTTGCCTATGCGTGCACTTTCGCATCTTTCGCTTTTATGCAGTGAAAACTGCCATTCTCATAGGCATGGATGCCGCCATCTTGCACAGGCATACGTGAAAGAAAAACTATGCGGAAAATTATGCCGSGAAATTGTTGAATGTTGAAAAAGTTCGGAAGAAGAGTGTGAAGAATATGGAAACAAACGAAGCTTCAAATGTCTGCTTGCAATTATGATTATTTCCAAAGTACTCAAGCACTTGATACCAATAATATATGTTAATAACTTTCAAAATTTGTTACAAATAAATAGTTCTCCGAAAAGGCACGCTCGTCTATCTAATTTTTTATTTAAATTGTTCATCTTTTAGAAATTGATATTTATATTTTGCTATACGTGTATGTATATATATACATCACTATACATTTTTCCTCTGTAGAAAACGAATGCATCAAATTTTAATAATTTTCCGAACTTTTTTAAAAATGTATTGTGGTCCATTCAGAGACCTTGAATAAGTGAACTTATGCTATTGTTATTAATATTAATGTTTCAAATAGCCATAATGCAATAACGTTTCAAAGTCATAAGTTCAATGTCAACATCCCACATCTAGCAAGCTAATACTGCGTCCATTACTGAACACAAACACGATCTTCTGGCACTTGATTTCTTAATTTTTCAAAAATCTCTTCATTTCTGTCTAAATATCGAATAAGCAATTTTCACAGTCATGGAAATCTTTGCTCATTTACAATACAGTTGAAAACAATAGCAGCATTTAGATGCTGGCGGATTCCCACGCCCTCAAGCCGTCACAATGCATCTTTGTCGTAATATACTATATGTATGTAAGCATGTTTGAGTAGTTATGAACTTTTTATTTGCTCTTGCACGCAACTTTCCGTGGAGATATGTACATATTGGAATCAGATTGTCGGTAGAAACGCAACTTCTTAATTATATGCAGCAGTACAAATGCATTTTTTCTATATTTCGCAAATTGCCGACAGTTTGCATACAGGCATTCTTACTGCCGCATGTAAGAGAGTAACTAGCGGCACAAGTTTGAAAAATCACATTTCTTTGCAATACCAATCTAATCTTGTATGTTTGATGTCCGACAAATGAAACCAAAAGCCTTTGAAAAATTGAAGGTTTGGAAAKGCGAGTGTTGTGGACTTATGTCCTTTTGAGGCGATAGTATTAACCTTACGAGAGAAAAAAAGCATATTTTCAACAAATTTATTTAAAGATACAATCAATATTTATTTATTTGTATAATTATAGCATAATTATATGATATTTAAAGAATATTCTGTGAAAGTTTCATAGAAAACTTAAAAAAAATGAGCCGGTGACAGAGAAGCTTCGCAGACGTTCCAAAAAAAATTGATTCGCGGTGAACCGCATAACTCATGACTGGATCATCTGAAATTACAAATCCAAATTGATTTAATTAGTTGAYAAGTTTCCTTAGTTATGCTGTCGAGTTTTTTTTTTTTAATGATTTTACAATTTTTTACAACGCACGGAACTATGTAAAGAAAGACTGTGCAAAATTCACCGGCTTCGGAAAAGTGAGGTGTGAAAAAAATGAAAATCGGAGGGCGGAGACTTATAAGTGTATATCTCCGTCTTTAATTGCTCTCAAATTTTCACAGAATAATCTTAAGATATTGTACATTAATATAAAATGCAAAAAAATAGCTTACTACCCCCTTGATAAAATGGCATCGCACTTCCTTAACACGATTTAACTAATCAACCTAATTATCCCACTTAAATCCTTTTACCAATATTATTAAGTTAAATTTCAATGGTAATTTCAGAGGATAAAAAGAAAAATAATGCATGCTATTGCTTAAGAAACTCAAAGCACAGTTCTAAGAGTGCTTAATTGTACTTTATTTCGGACTTTTCAATATATTTTTCGTCTCCAGTACGAAATAATTTCTATTTACCGATATATACTTGTATAAAATTGCATTTTCGAATCACATGCGTTTTAATCCCTCTTCTTGCGAACAACTATATACCACGAGCGTGAACAAGTAGCGTACATGTTAATTAATACAATTAGCAGCAATTATACCATCTGTGTGAGTGCTTGAGTAGAGATGCTATTACCAGGGCACCGTGTTGTTTTTTCTAARAGCTGACTCACTGACTCACTTGTTTATCTCACTAATCCCAACATCAACATACTATACTGATTTTAWTATTACCAATACTGATTTTAAATGTATGAATATGTATTCACACTGACCCTTCAGGAAACGGAAAGGTTTGTGAAATCTCAATAGCTTTATTTGCGATAGTTCCAAAGTCACCATGGTGCAGGGCTTCAGTTCGCTGGTTTCAAGTGCACTTAATACAGATATTCAATATAGACGATTAAAGGAGTWAAATGGAATAATTGAAATCATTCGCATTTAGAAAATATAGAGTAAATTTTCTTTTAAGCATGGTGATGAATTTCCTGCCGGTTACGTGAACGTACTTGATTTGTACGCGTGCCCACTTGTGTTTAGCTAATTTGTTTGCTTCCACTTTTCACTTCACTAATCGTTCATTAACTAAGCTTGTCGGCCATAATTAATTGTTTGCATGATATTGTATGCCGTCTGTCCATCTAAATTTTTCTTTCAAACTATTGAAAAGGATCTGAAATATGAAGTAAATTTAAATAACATAAAACTTTTAAAGAAATTTTACATTTTATGATTATATAGTTGTTTGTTAAAGATTTAAGACTCTACGCAAAGAAAAATAATAATTTAACAAATTAAAAAAAGCCTTTAAGTGTTGGCGAAACCTTTTAAAGTAAAGTTTTAACCATTATTCAGAGCTGCTCTCTAATTGAAATTTCAAATAAGTTTCTTGACTCCACTCCACTAATTGCCGAAATATTTCTATTTATGAATCCAATGTGAACAACGTTCATCTAGAAAGAAGTAGTACAAGAAAGTGGGCGTTGCTAAGGCCTTTGTCGTATTTTTTCTTCTTCTTCTTCTAATGTATAATAGCGGATTTAGTAGATTTATAAGTTTATTAAAACATATTGGATCAATGTATGTTAATATTTACCTGCGTTTATATATCAGTGCAAGTGTTTGTGTAGAATAAATAAATCCGCGCGTTTTGTTTGCTGACGCTTTCGCAGTTATTTGTTATATCAGCAGCCATGTAGGTAAATATACTTTACAAGCAAGTACACTCATTTATTTGTATCTTTAATTTTCGTAAATTTTTGGCAATATAGTTGCATTACTTATTTAAAGTATAATGTTATGTTCCTAAGGGACACAATTACAGAATCATCTATGGTGAAAAGTTAAATATCAAATCTGATTCGAAAATATCTTTGTATATTCCTTATTATTCATAGTGAAAGATGGATCAATGAATTTGGAATATATCTGCTCATATTTAATTAAATTAATGCAAAAAGTTATACTTATGTAGCGCACAACATTATTTACTAATCGAAATTTATACTATACTTTGCACTCTTGAAAATATCGCTGAAATCAGTTGTTTGATTTTGTGAAATTAAGCTAAAAGAACATAACGCACAGTTCTTATCAAAGTTTCTCTCTTCTTTTTTATATTTACAGATACATTACTCCAGCCACCGCATCTAACGGCAGTAGCGCTGCCAGTATAATCTATCCCTCCACGAATGGGCAAGTGTACAGGGTGAATAATGTGCCGTTATCGCAGGCAAATGTTGTGAACATTTCCTCTTGTAACAACAATAACAAKGGAAGTGCGGACAATGTGGACGGTTATCACAGTGAGAACAGCATGGGTAACAAGGACATAAACTCGCCGAGTGGATTCTCACAAAAATTAAAAGAATTAGCGGCATCAGCAGGCCTCTTAACACTAAAGCCACGACATCCGCTAAAACCAGTAATAAAAACGCGTGGCTCACAAGGATCCGAATTTCCGAAGAAGGTCACATTCAGTGCCTTCGCTACCGTACAAGTATTGTAGTGTTCAGGCATAGCTATAGCTTAGTAATGGCCAAAATGTTGGTTGGGATGATTCCATATGTATGTAAAAAAAAGTGGAATTTTATTGATTAATTTTCTGTTTTTTCGTAAATATTGAAAATTCCAAGCTTGGGCATTGGCGCCTCGCTAACCAACATTATTGTTGTTATTCGTAATTCTAATTACACAAAACTTACAGATGTACGACGTATTGGTTCGAAGTAAAAGTCTTACGTACATATGTATGTACTTACCTATGTATAAACAAATTTAGTGAGTAATATATATTTGAATTGTTTTTGTTGTTGTTATTTATAATTATACACTCGAAGGATGAGTTAAAATATATAATATTTACTTACGAATGCTAGGATGATCAACATTTAAAATTATCAATACCTGAAGCACTTTGAATTCCCACACCTACATCACATAGTCGAACAGGTTCAAAGAAGAGGGAAAACCGACACTTCGATAAAATGTGTGAATWTTAGGATATTCATTAATTTGTTGATTATTGTAATGTGTTGTATTTGTATGTGTTTTTATTACAAGAAATCGAAGCCCATTTTTTTGGATAATCGCGGAGATTACTCAGAGCACATGTACATATGCGTACATGTGTGTAATTAAAGAAACTGCTGAATAAACTAAACTAATTCGAATAACCTGAATTGCTTGCGTTTGGTGCAATATCCATTTGACTTATAAAAGTTATCGTTTTAAGTAGTAAACAAAAACACATTAAGGACTATAACTCTGTAAGTTAATTAGTTCACAATTTATTATGTTGTAAACCTGTTATAACAAATACAACGTATTTAAACGTACATGCATATCTACGTTGAGGTATCCTTATTTAAAACAAATCAAGTTTTGCAAAATGCCGATTGGATTGTTTCTCTAGTCATGTAAATACTTAAAGAGTAAAGAAAATGTACTTAAAACTTGAATTTCATTGAAACTGTTTCTTGAATTGTATCAGGTAATGTAAAACTTTGTATTCGCTATAATTGACGACAAACTCAACAATTTAGAATTTACAAATATAGCTCTTGAAATTTTTAATTAAAAATGTTACCATTCCAGGGATGCGTTATTGAATATGTATAAAATCAGTTAAAAAATCTTTAAATAAACAGCAACAACTTAATTTAAAAACAATTGTAATATATTTACATGAAGTGTTCATAAATAATTTAGATTATATTAAAAATTGTCAATTTAAAATTGTAATAATTGTAAATTTAAATAATAAAATGTACGTGAATTCTTGGAAAGTATGGATTACTTGATTTAGTAGATATTAGATAAAATATCCTAAGGTTTGATGTTGGTCTCATTCACTAATGCTGGTATGTAGCCACTTATTTACATACTCGTGCTTATACATATATATATATATATATATAAATATGTGCACGAATTGCCTGCCTATTAAGTGGTCGTAAATTGTTCCGCTTTGGCGCTATACAGTAACTGTTATATCATATTATATTACGAGCAGTTACGTCATTTGTCAACGCTGCAATTTTTGATACGTTTACTCATCCATTTCGAGTACTTTTTTTTTAGATTTGGCATATATTTTTTGAAAACTATCCCTTACAAATAGTCATCACTACATCGAATCGAAGCGGAATTGTCCTGTCTATACCTTTACATATCCCCACAAGAATAGTCTAACGCGATGTGTGGGAAGTGGCGCCATCTTGTTGAAATCAAATGTTGTTGAGATCACGAGCTTAAATTCAATTCAGGCATCAAATAGTCGGTTATCATGGTGCGATAACTGTCGCCATTGACTGTTACGTTCTCATCGGCATCATTTTGACTGATGATTCAACCGGTCCACAAACCACACCAAACCGTTATTTTTTCTCTTCAGGCAGAAATAGGCCTCATCGCTGACCAAATTTGGCTCGTAAACGTCGGAGCTTCTTGGAACTTTTCAAGAGCCCATAGAGCTAAGCGATATCGCTTGGGAAGGTCGAGCGGCTTCAGTTCTTGCCCAAGCTTTGTGTGCTTTCAATTTAGGCTCTCGACGTAAAATAGACCAAATCATTCCGAACGTCAGTCCGAGTTGCTGCAAACGGCACCAAATCGACTCTAGACGGTCTTCGTGTACACTTACAGCTACGTCTGCTACATTTACTTCACTACGTGCTGCACGTGATCTAATAGGTGAAGKTGTTGCGAATAGTACGCTCAGTAGACCAATTATGTCAACCATAAATTGAGCGAACCCGCGAAACACATTCCTTGCAGAACGTGAATTGTCGTAATAAAGTTAAATGACGTTGTTTAGACGTAAGTTCATGAACGAAATGCCAAGCGATACGGAACAAAAATTACGAGACATGATCTGTCAAAAAAGGCTATTGAAAATTGTAACTCTACTTGGATCACCCGTTACAACAAAAAAATTAAAAACTTAGGTAAATCATGCAACAGGTGAATACGCGGATGGTTTACAACAGCTTCGCGTAATGTGTCCATTTCACATTCACCAATTACAACTTTTAACATCTTTTAAAGCCAAAATAGTTATTTGGATGTTGGTTTTGTGTTGATATATGTATGTACATATCATATCTACCAAAATATATATAATTGTACAATATACAAATTTAATTCCTCAGTTTTTCATATTATTTTATATTATATTAGTAAAGAAGCAATTTTAATCTTTTCATTATAGCCTGAACAGAATATATTAAGTTTGCAAGAGAGAACTTTACTTTTCAATTGCCTACTTAGTCCAAGTAGTAGTGTTACAGCGTTGGATTTCAAGGCTGATAATGTTGTTGGTATTGATACTGGTTACAAGATAGACGAAATTATCTACGACTTCAATATTATGACTGTCAACTGTGACGTATGATCCACGTCGCGAATGCGATGACTGATTCGCTTACTTATCCAGTGCGGAGAACGCAGAACTAACGGCGAGGTTGTTGAGGCTAATGGTGTCAATATCATCAGCGTATGCCAGCAGCTGTACACTTTTATAGAATATTGCACCTTCTCTATTTAGCTCTGCATCTCGTATTATTTAATCCAGCAATATATTAAAGAAGTCACACGATAGAAAGTCTATAGCATATACATATGTATGTAACTGCGGTACAAACTGACCGATCACCATCAAGTACTGTATAGATTTGTTTATTTGTGGAGGGTATTACAACTTGAATGCAACTGAAGTTAACGTAAATTTAAGCAATTTTCAATACTTTTATTCTTTTCAATCGCCAAGCAGTTTTACAAAATATGGTTGGGACAAAAGAAAGAAGAAAAAAGTTTGGAGGTGTATAATTTAATGTAATACGATAAAAAGATGGATTCGTATTGTTATATATACACTTATGTATGTATGTACAAATTAATAAGTATATATATTAATTTTTCAAAGCAATTTTTAGTACGCAAATACTATTTGTTCCGTCCAAATTTCAAGAATAAAATCTATTAAGCCGATGAACATTTTCTGTAATTTCATACAAATTTTTAATGAATAAATTTTTGTGAATCATAAAATGAATGAATGATTGCATACTACTAATAGTACAAAACTAAAGGGCAACGGGCAAATTGTAAAAGCTTAAATATATGCAATTCTTTTGGCACTTTTGTAATCTCTCCATAATACGTAAAAACCAGATTATTGCTCGTCTATTTCTTCAATTCGCGCCGCCTCTTGGAACACATCCGGCACCACGGCATCGACCGACTTTTCAATAAGATTGTAGCGCTCTGCTGCTGTTAAACACTGTTGTGCGATTTCGCGAGCTTTATTACGCGTGTCATCTGGCAACTGTGACAAACCGCTAAGAAGTTCCATAATATCTGTTTCGAAAAGCTTCTTTGCAATATCCTCGCCTGCATTGATCATATTTAATACAACTACCACGCCACGATGTTGGACATCGGGACTTGGATTGGCAATTAACGTATGCAAAACCTGTAGCCAAGAACTAATTTCTAATATTTTTACGCAGCATACTTTAGAAATTGACGTTAACATAGCTAGCGCCCCAGCACAAGCTTTTGCAGTATCCTCATCTTCCTCTTCACATAACAATGCAAGAAACTTGACACGATCATTAGGTTTTTCAAACATTTTCACAACCTCATCTGACATAACCATATTGCAGATGCATTGTGCCGCTGCCCGCTTTAGGTATAAGTGATCTTCCATCAGGTAAATTTCGATTTTCGAAACGCCCTGTTCCTTCACTATACGTTGCCTTACACTCTCATTCATCGCTGCCAAATTTGTTAGCGCCATAAGTGATTCAAAGTTCTCCAATGCGGTACAATCTTGTGCCAGTAAATTCAACAGTGGTCTTATAACATCCAAACTGCGTTGCCCAGCAAATGCTACCTCAGGATTGATTGTAATACCGATGCGCGCTAACGCTTGTGAAGCTTGACGTTTTCCTTTTTCTGTACCCTCTAATGCCATTCGCAACAATGCTTTGACTCCCCCGTCCTGCACAACCTTACCACGTAGCTCTTGTAAACCACATACAGCGTTTAGTACCCGGGCAATTAGCTCCTGAGAGTTGTGACTCTCAGTTTTAGCAAGTGCACACAATGCCCCGGTTATACCTTCATTAGCAAGAATAGTAATACGTTTATTTACAAAGTCCGTATCATCCAATTCATGTTCTTCTGGTATATGATGCTTGGCGAATTTTGCTAGTTCTATCATCTCTTCCAACATCTCCTGCTTCTCATAGGCATTAACGAGATTAACAAATGTGGTGACGACTCCATAAAGACAGGACTGATCACCGGATCGGGCCAAATCAATGAGAGCATGAATGGCCGGTTTATCCTCTATCAGTTTCTCTTTTACTTCAGCATCGAGAGTAAGGTAGGCCAGCCCATCAGCCGCCCAACGGCGAATATCCCGATCCTTACCAGGTTTGATTAAGAAACGACGGCACGCTTCGGCTAATTTACTTGTAGCTCCATCAGCAAACGGTCGTATGGCAGCATCTTGGCCCCCGTAACTGCCAAGTTTGCATAGACCAACTAACGCACGCACACGTATATTGTCGTTTTTACATTTATACAGGCTTTTCAATATATCTACACCTTGAGCGCATAATGCTTTTGCTTTGTCTTTTTTAGAAGCTGCAGCTACTATACATTCGCAAGCAACTCGTTGTTGCAACTCATCATCAGTTGTGGCCATGGCCAAAATCATTTGTAAAATGCCTTCTCTTGCTATAATTTGATTCCCCACATCTAATGGACCGGACAACAAAGAAGTAATGGCAACAGTTACCCGAATTTTTGATTCCATATCAGGATCTAAAAGTTTATCTTTAACATATTCATCAATCTGATCAGAATAACGCTTTCTTGCTTCATCATAGTACATGTTCTCGAAAATTCGAGCCATGCACACCGAAGCAATTGTACGCGAGGATGGTGTTATCTCCATGGCACTTTCGTATTTGTATTCCTCCAACTCGGAGCATACATCCAATAGTCGATGTAATCCACGAATTTCAACTAACCTCTCCGCCCATTCTAAGGCTGTATAGTGAATATTCCGCGTTAATAACTCGATGATAGCATCACGTGCCGGCCCGGAAATAGTCCGATCAGTTATGGTATAAACCAAGCAAGTAAGGAGTGTATCAATTTCTTTTTTATTCTGCTCACAAAGTTCTTTTTTTGGCTTGCTTTCTGGCTTGTTTTCCATACCCGACAATGAATTAATAATGGCTTGTAAACAGTATTGGGCGGCCGTAACACGTTCTTCGTGCCTATGATCTAAGACATGTAGGAACCATGGTACACCCAATTCTCTCAATACTGCCTTTGTTCGATCCACAGATCCTACACATAATTCACCAACGACGCGAATTAGATTGCAATATATTTCAGGATCCTTTTCTATTTTGGTAATTGTAGAAATTTTCGTAATACATCCAGCATTAAACATCATGTGTGCGCCGACCTCTTCTTTAGCCAAAACTAAYAAATTATTGGCGCCCGAACGACGTTTATCTGAAGGAGTTCCCATGTCAAAAGTGATATCCATCATTTGATTGACCTAAAATATTTTATTAATTTCAATTCATTTCTGTATTATATTATATGCAAAATATATGTACCTTAGTTGAAGTTTTTGCATTTTGTGCCAAGCGCTCCTGCACTATTTGGTGTAAGCGTTCCAACATCGGTTGTACCGATTTATTAGTAGGATCTTCTTTGAACAAATCAGTAGCATCTTTGTACGCCTCCTCAAATTTCTGCAAGGCTTCATAGGCCTGCGCACGTCGAAACAAAGCTTTTGGATCTTTTGGTGAAATTCGTAAAGACTCGGTGCAATCATTGAGAGCATCTTTATATTTCTCTAGTTTTAAGTACGCAGCAGCTCGATTTTTATAAAAAATGGGTAACTCCTTATGCTTTTCACCAGCTGCTATAGCCTTTGTATAACATGAAACAGCCTCCTCCCATCTTTCAGATTTGAAAGCGTTATTGCCCTCATCTTTGTAGTTAACAGCTTCTATTTCGCCTTCAACAGTCATTATTCAAATTTTGTAATTATTCAAACTTCCAGATACAATTTTAATTAAATTTAAATAAAGTATATAAATAAAATATTATTATGTCACGCCTATTTTTCAATATTCAATTTTTTTCTTCCATCTGCTGTCTTGCTGGCCACTTTTATAAGGTTGAGTGGCACATGAATAATTTTAGATTTTCTGACTGTAGAATATTCTCGATAACATTCTATGTTGCTCGCGTAAAATTGACAGTTTTCCCGAATCTGCATGAAAACTCAGAAAAGCTCATTCACAAAATTTCATGCTCAAATGCCTTGTTTTACAAACCAATAAAAAATCTATTAATAAATTTCTTCGACATTTTCCTCTTCTTTTTATTTTCGTTTGTTTTCAACACAGTTTTTAATTCTATTCGGTTTTRCTTTGACACTTCATCGCATTACTCACAGAGAACGTATAATATTATACTCACTCATTCCCTTCTTTAATTTTAGAGAACGATAAAGAAAAATGTTTAAATGACAGCAGTATTACTTCAGCTATAATATGTACTTTGTCAAAAATTCACAAAATCCCTTGAACGTAACATAATGATATAATCATAATAAAAACAACTCCAAAAAATCAGAGAAAGTGCAGCCCACTCGGTGGATCGTGCAATGTATAACACCAAGTGTCAGTTAATATTTCGCAGCTTCTTACCGACGCATATTTTTAATAACATTGGTAATGTGCAGTATATTTGTACAAGTTCTCCGTGGAGAAGCACTAATTATTATGAAGCTCTTGGAATAACACAGAGCTCGACACAGAATGAAATCAAATCAGCATATTATAAACTTTCCATGCAATATCATCCTGACAAAAATAAAGGATGTGAAATATCTGCAAAAAAGTTTCGTGWAATTTCGCAGGCATATGAAGTACTTGGTAACTACCGACTTAGAAGATTATATGATAAAGGTATACACATAGTTTCATTAAAAAGTTGTAAATTTAATCCATTTTAATTTTACAGGTGTTATACATACAGCGGGAGCTACATATAAAAGGCCAACAGAATATGAGCCAGAAGTAGAAGATGATCCAGAAACGAAGTTTTACAAATCTCGTTTTAAAAAATCGCAAGTTGCGGATGAAATGGGACGAACCCCTATATATGATTTTGATGAATGGTCCCGCGCCCATTACGGAAAATCCTTCCAAAAACGAAAAGATGCTAAAGTACGGTTTGATCGAAAGCAAGCACAACGCCGCGACCATGCGTTTGCTTTACAAAACGAAATGGTACTCTTCGGTTTTGTTTTCATAGTTGTGGCAATGTACGCAATATTCTACACCGAATCGTCACTAGATGCGCCAAAAGAGCGATCCATTCAAGCTTCTTCGCAGCGAAACATTGGTACCAAATCGCCTCCGGCCGAAACGTAGTTGTGATAAAGAAAGGTTTAAGGGGAAATGTTGAATTTTTTATTGTATGTTTTAAAGATTTTGTTATTATTATAAACGAAGAATTGTAAAGAAAAGGTTGCTACGTTAAACAAATTGTAATGTAAATAATAGCTTTCGAACTAAAATTTTCCACTACGTTTTCGTCCCGTATATTTTGTATCTGGTCGGGTGTCACGGCCTTGGCGTCGCCTACGTTCTTTCTTAGCTAATATCCATTCTCTTGATTTTTTCATCGGTTTACCTCGAGCTTCTCGACACATATCACGCTTTTTAATATAATTTATTCGTTTTTCTTCTTCCTCCGATCCTTAAATTTAAAATTAACATTAGATTCTAAATTTTCGACATCACAACGCTGACTTACCTAACGCTTTTGGCATCGGTGTAGTACCACCCGTCATCAAAACTAAAAAATACTTCTTTGCTTTGGTGGAATTGGGATAATCAACCACTAAGCCACCATAGAATCCAGCTTTCATAGCTTGTGAGGTGACCATTTCAATTTGGTCTGCATTTTCCGGGTAAAATTGAAATACAGCACGAGCTGTACGAGTCAAACAGGAGAATAAAGTTGAAAAGAATTTATATAATCTTTTATGGGGATTATGTGTACTTTTATCCGCATTACACAACCATTGCAAAGCAGATATTGATATGGCACCGTCGAAGGTACCAGGCCTAAATGGCATACCGTCTCCCATGTCTGCCAACACAAGATCTCCAGCTACATCACGTTCAACAGCTATATCTAACATTGACTTAGATATGTCAACACCTACCCAAATGTGCTCATTGTCCTCCAACACACTTCCTGATAAACCAGAGCCACAACCAATATCCAATATCAGACACTGCTCATCTTCATTTAGGGTAAGTAATTCATAGGCTCTCTCTGCCATCTCAAATTGAATTTCTATTATCCGTGTGCTTTAAGAAATAGTAAATTTACGATTACAGGAATATATATTTAATATAATAATGCAGGAGTAACCTACTTGGTAGAGTATTTTTTGGCTTCATTATCATTGTAGAACTGCAAAAATTAGGAAAAAGTTAGTACCCAGTTTAGAGGAATTACGAAATCTTCTTACAATCTCAGGCGGTGCCAAATGTTCAGGCCTCCTTGCCATATTTGTAATTGATTATTGTTACAATAAGATAGAGAGTTCTACTATTTCACTTATATTTCCTGTGACGAACTATATGCCAACTTTATTTTGTTTTCAAATATGACATGCACGTGGATATGTCGGCAAGGCTATACGAATTTGTCAAATTCTTCTAGTTTTCTTTTTATTCAATATTTATTGTTTTGATTATTTATTAAAACAGCTGTTATTAAGCACGGTGTGCAGTGTGATTATGCAAGTTTTGTTTTGATTTCATTTTCTTATAACATAAGAATTATTAGCATTTCTAATTGAAAGTCTGTATAATTAATAAAGATAAACTTTGCAAGTGAGGAAGGATTAAGAAATGGCTTTTGCATTGAGAAAGTGTATTAATCCTAKGCGACACGGGTAAAAATGAATTAACTACAGTACTATTTCACTTATTTGAAATTTTTTAGAAAAATATTTGCATTCACGCGTAACACATTGCAAAACTTATCTTCAATGACAGCTGATGTTAACTCGAAAGTCGCCTCTGAAGATTCAAAGACTCCTTCAGGCGATGCGGAGCTAGTGATAAGCAATTCGTGTACTAAACGGCTACAGGAAATATCAGAAAATGGTAAAGCATTCCTACGTATCACTGTAGAAGGTGGAGGTTGCTCTGGTTTTCAATATAAATTTGATTTGGACACGAAATTGAAAAGTGATGATCTTGTTTTCGGCGAGGAAAATGCAAAAGTTGTCATTGATAATGTATCTTTAGAATACTGTTCTGGTGCTACTGTCGACTATCATACGGAATTAATCAGATCTGGTTTTCGAATAATAGCTAATCCACAAGCGGAGCACGGTTGTTCATGCGGCTCTTCTTTTTCTATCAAATTGGATTAGAAATAACTATAAAAATATCGATGATAAATTGAGTTTTATTATGCTTTCATAAATTTCATATATATTGCCATTTATCAGTTGTTATAAATGTTACAAAGTTACACATATAGTAATATAAATTATTCCGCTTGTTATTAAATACATGTTTCTTTTTTAATTTACAAAGTTTTAAAGGATACACAAAATTTTACATATTTTAAGTTACTTGCACAATGTGTACATATTCAGAAATTGTTTCAGTGATCGATAGTTGTCACTGCATAAACTTTCAAGATATTTAAACGATCAACAATTACCGTGTACTAAGTTAATTAAAATACAATCTTATATACTTGCGCACGTTACAATTTTGAAGAACGGTATCTACCTTCGAAAAGTTTACAATTATTGTTTATCCTTTGAACGGTGTTTATTTGTGAGTTATATTAGCCACGTGCCAAACAGTTTCAAATAAATTTCTTCTACTTTGAAGCGGCTAGTTGCTCACTTAAGCTAATTACCTGTTCCGTAAGCACACTGATTTGTTCTTCATAATTAATGCGAGTGGTAGCCTAATTGAAAACAATAATTAATTCATAGATATTTCTTTAAATATTTTCTATTATTACCAAATCCTCCTCTAGAATTTTTAATGCCTGATTTATGCTTCCTATTTGCTCATCCTTTGAATTTAACTCATGCGTCGCATTTTCCAAACATATTTGAAAATGTTCCACTTCCGTTTCGTATGAAAACATTCGAGATTCAGCCAAGTACTTAGATTTCAAAAGATGTTCAAATTTTTTACTAAAACTGTTATAAAGAATTTCTTCTTTTGTGGGCGGTAATGTCGGTTCCTTATATGAGTCGCGTGAGCTATTATTTATAAATTTTGTAAATTAAGACGCGCACATATACATATAAGAAACTTATTATTTTTTTGTATTCAACAAGTTTTGTATACCTTTTTGCTTCCGCTGAGCCAGATTTTACTATTAAACCAGCTGCTGTACTGCTACAGCTACAATTGCTATACTCTGGAATACAAGCAGACGAGCATGTAATATTATTGTCATACAACCCATTTTTTGTCTCATTTAAAGTTGTAGCTTCATTGATTTTTAAAATTTCATATTGTGTCCGCCAGTGAACCATTTCTTTTTCCAGACTGCAAATGCGTTCTTCAGCTGTTGGTACTGATGCTGTAGATAATGTTGATTGATCATGTTGTTGCGCAGCAACATGAAATGGTGTATGATCACTACCAGAAGCACTCAGAGCATCTTCACTACCCAACTGAAAGAATATATATTATCAGTTACATAAATACAAACACTTCTCGCTTTTACCATACTAATCGCGTCAACGAGCTTACTTTCGAGCTCTGTGTTTCTCTTTTGCAATACTTCGAAATCTCTGCGGAAATGCTTTTCTGACTCTGTGAATTCTATGTTTCGCTTTTCTAACATTTTTTGCAAATCCAGCAAACGTTCACCCTGAATTTGAAGCTCATGTTCCTTGTCGTCAACCTTGAATGAAAAATACTATATATTTCATATCATTTATATATAATGTAAAAGACCCTAAGATAACCATTGTAGTTAGTTCTGCATTTTCCATGATTTTCTTCTGAAGTTCTTCGAAAATTAGAGCGTCTTGTCCCACATCCCTTTCCCCAACTGCTCCAGGAAGATCCCCTTTTCCAGTTACTGTATGTTTTCGTACATATTCATTATCAGTTTTAATACGTCCCTCTCTCTTTGCAATTTCATCTTGAAGGGCCGCAACTCTGTGCTCTAGTTGCCTATTACGAAAACCTAATGAATCGACTTCCTGCTCAGATCGACGGAGCGCGGTTTCACTTTGTCGTAGTTGTTCACGTAAACTTTCTCCTTTTGATTGTTCATCCAAAACAGCATTTCGAAGTACAGCTGCCCTGGCTCGTAGCTTCAGTAAATAAAGTAAAAATATAAATTAGTTTAGTTAAAATAATTATTTTGGCACAGGGGCGTACCTTTGAGTATTCACTAGCAAGCTTTTGATATTTTTTATGTTGGGCCTCCGTTATTTCTGAACTACCATCCATTCTACTGAGCATGGTTAATGACAATATCGCACCCCGATTTTTTACGTTAGATCTTTTCTCTTGCACTTTTTCTATGATATTACTCCTTTAATGATCTTTGTGAAACGAAATTTATCCATAATTTCCAGAAACATTAGATTTGTAATATTTCATTCCTTTCTACCAGAATATCGTTAATATCTATAACGCGCGGATATCTCAGTAAAATATTTATTCGAAAAATAAAGTTATTCTAATTATTACAATTCTTCCCTGATATAATGTATTTTATTTAATTCGTTTGGAGCTAATTTATGTTTGCAGTCAACTAAGATCACCATATTCATTTTTCTTATCTTAGTTCAAGCCTATTGTGAACTATCCATTACATTAAAATGCAATTTGACATTTCTATAAAAATTGACGTTTCTTCACTGAAAGCTGCCGATTATTTTACAATCATAAACAAAAATTTACCGCAAAAACTTATTGATATAATTCTCAATATAAGAAATGTCAGCGGGATCAGTAGACTTAAGCTCATATCGCGATCAACATTTTAAAGTAAGTATTTAAAAAATTATATTATTGTTGTGTATAGAATGTTTAACTTTTTCACTCGTTTGTAGGGCTCACGGTCTGATCAAGAGCGTTCACTCCGTGAATCGTGTACATTGTATGTGGGGAATTTGTCATTTTACACAACCGAAGAACAAATTCACGAATTATTTTCCCGTTGCGGTGAAGTGAGACGTATAGTGATGGGTTTAGATAAATACAAAAAAACACCTTGCGGATTCTGTTTTGTAGAATATTATGTACGTACAGACGCAGAAATGGCCATGCGGTAAGTAAAATAATTGAATACTAGAAACATTTAACAAAATGATTTCTTATATTAGATACGTAAACGGAACACGACTAGATGATCGCTTAATACGAGTTGATTGGGATGCAGGCTTTATTGAGGGGCGTCAGTATGGTCGCGGCAAAACTGGTGGACAAGTGCGAGATGAATACCGAACAGACTATGATGCCGGACGAGGAGGTTATGGCAAATTGTTGCAGCAAAAAATTGCACCAAACACCGACAATCGTTAATTTTGTGGTATTTTACCTTTAACTTTAGGATTTATACGTAATATACAATATAAACAAAAAATTTTATAACTCTTTTTTGCCTCCGCTTAAAGATGGACCTTTCTTAAGCCTCTTATGGCGTTTATTTTCCTTTTTCTTTTCTTGATGTTTAGACGCTTCATGGTAAGGGTTTATATATTCAGGGCTACGAAATTCTTCGTTGATCTCTTGAAATAAAATTGTCATCAATTTGGCAGTAGATTCATCAATTATGTGTGGAAAAGAGTTAACAAACTCATAACACCAATTCAGCATCAATTTCCATTCTAAATAATGTTTACCAAAAATTCTATAACTTATTTCTGGAAAGTGTATAAGACTTTCGGCAGCTATACAGCAATTTTCCATTACGGTGCTGACTGCATCCTGTAAATTACTATTTTGAGCAAATCCGTCCCGCAAAGGTTCATAGGCATATGATGTCATTGTAATATTACTGTCCCTGATAAGCTATAGTAAGAAATAAAGTTGATGATTACTTGCTGTGTAAATGCAATTTATTTTCTGTTATATTACTTGAAAGATTTTACCATAGGCTAGCTTTAACAGCTTAAAATTTTTTTCATAATTTTCTGATGTGATCATGTTTTTTATTACTGTTTGATGCTCATTACGGCGTTCCTTAAATATCTTTGAATCTGTAGTATATTTTATAATTATTTTAAATCCAAACTATAAAAAATATTTACTTACAAAGACTTGCCGATAGCACCGATTTATTTCCTTCATTTTCCACTCCTTTACCATTTATTGTATGCTTATTGTGCGCAATAATCAAAAAATGTACAAAAATAACAGCTATTGAACGACTTAAGAACAGCATGGTACATCTGTACAAATGATAACATTACTTTTGGAATAGGCTATATAAATACGATGACGCTAACTATTTATCTCCCATTCACAATAATTCTACACGTGAACAAATACCAACTTATCACGTTCTTGGTATAAAATTTAATTCCTTATCACTGTGCTGATTATTTTTAAACTCTTTTCAACTATTTAAAAGTTGATTAAGAATTTTTAAACAATGCAAACTCCCGCGTTGTGAAACTTTTCTTCATTAAACTATAAACAACTACCATTTACACGTATTCCTATGTATGTATATATGTATATTTATTTACGGATCAAGCAACTGCAATATTTTCCCTTGTAACAGTAATATCTTAAACTATACGTCATTTCACATATGTACCTGAACACATATAAAATATTTAATGTTTTCCAATGTTGTTTGCTAAAGAACAGCTTAGCCCAGTGCCATCGGGTTCAACGTTCAATTCCTTCACCTCGCCATTTTCTACAACCATTGAGAAACGTTTTGCACGTAGACCACCCAGCGGTGGTAGGTCAATTGTTAGTTCTAAAGACTTAACAAATAAGCCGGAAGGATCAGCCAACATACGGACTTTACCGGCAGTATTGTGTTCTTTACCCCAAGCGGACATAACAAATGGATCATTTACAGAAACGCAAACGATTTCATTAACGCCTTGATCACTTTTCAACGAATCAGCATTAGACACAAACCCTGGTAAGTGGGTCTGAAAATAAAAGATGTAATGAATTATCGTCAATTGAAGACTTGGGCTTTATACCCACCTTGGAGCAGCCAGGCGTAAATGCACCAGGTACTGCAAAGATTATCACTTTCTTATTTGATGTCAAATCCCCGGTATTTATTTTGTTTGCCGGCGAATCTTCAAAGAGATCTATTGAAGGGAGTTTGTCACCAACCTACAAATACAAAAAAATAGTATCTATATTTAAGAACATACTGTAATGTATTTAACTAGTTTTCGGTAACTGTAAAATAATAGATAGGTCGATATTACCCATGACCTTGAACAAAGAAATCTACAACCGAATTAAGAAATCAATTTTGCATTGGAATGCTTTCTTTTACGGTTGTAATAACATATCATATATAATAAAAAGTTATGTAATAACATAATAAAATATAATAAAATTTTCAAACACTTTAGTAGTCGTTCTAAAAATGTAATTTCTATAACAAACCTTTATTGGAGCCATTTTATTTGCTGACTTTGAAAACGCACGAACCAAATTCCTTGAAAATTGAGGAATGGCAACGGTACAGATACGCGACTGCATTTTAAAGTTTTGTGATATGTTTTCACTTTTCGTCTACTTTGTGTGCTTCGATTCGTAAAATTTCGCCGTGACAGTTGAGTGGAAATTCATCCAGTACTGTGGGGTAGTATTAAAAAAATGTGTTATAAAATATTCGTGGATAGTTCTAAAACCTCTATATGTTACTGAGTATTTATGTTTTAGATGGAATTATCTTATACTGAACAATAATTACGAACTTAACAAAAGAAAAATCACGCTGCTATTATTAATAGGATTATTTATCACACCAAAATCAGTAAATCAATTAAAACTGATAGTCAAATGATAAGTCTAATTTTTTTGTTGTAAAACAAGGAGTGATTTGAAAGGAAATCGCTTGCGCATAGTTCTCCGCATGATGTGTCTGCTTTATTAAAATAAAGTTCAGGGAAGAAGTTTTGTTTCAAGTTATTTTTCGTAATGTTGTTGTAGCGGTAAAGTTTTGCCGAGTTGACAGTCCTTGGCCGGATAAAAATCCGTTTCCGTTCCGGTTACGTAGACCCGACTGTCGTGGGACCGGAGCTATTCGTAATAGTTTGGGCACATTCCTATCGTTGCATGTTTACGTTTTCAAGCTTCTCTACAGAAAAACAATCATAACGGCAATTTTAGACGCGATTATTTTATTATATAATATGGGGGGAAAAAATATGGAAAATACCAACATTTTAAATATTTTTACATCCACCCTGAAAAATTAATCATATGAATTTAAATATAAATTTATCAAATGTATAAGAATTTTATATAAATTTCTACTTCGAAACTCCAACTGTATCGATGGAGTTTTCCAATTTAAACACCTAATAAACTCTCAGATAAACGTTCAATATCGTCTACACTCATTTGTTTTAAATTCGTTTCAAAATCGGTCATAAAAGCAGTAACCAAGTTGTCAGCTTGTGGTTCATTATAGTACTTTCGAAACGATTTCTGTAGGATCTGTGACCATAAAATAAAATTTATTAGTATTATTATTTATTTTACTGTTTTTATCCTTTTACCTCTCGTAATCCTTCTATTCGTGGTCGCATCACTACCAAATTTAGTTTACATCCTTCATGTAAATTTGGATATGCGGACACAGTGTTCTCATCTTTTAACGTACGTCCAAGTAATAACAATTTTTGCTCTGGTAATGGTATATTCAATTTACTTTCAATTTCCTTTTTCATATCTGATATTAAAGTATGCGGCTCGACCTGAAATTAATTTTTCGTTATAAATGAATTGGATTTGCAATAATGGAACTCACGTCTAATGTAACGTCTTGTCCTTTTAAAATCTTTATTGTTATTTGCATGTTTTATCTTAAAATAAAACTAAAATTACTATATATTAGTTACTATTCCACAAAAAGCACTGCAAACATATGATGGGKCCGATGAGAAAAATTTATTGTGAACGAAAAAGTACGACTAATGCTACGTTTCCACTCGCTCTTGGTAATTCACTTGATCTCATGTAATACATTATTTAACAAATATAAATATGGCGAAATCCTGGTCTAGTGCATACTACCCCCTCAACACGTCGATTGTTTTGTTGAAAAAAACAGAACAGTTAGTATTTGAATACCATATACATACTGATATAGGTGGTCCACAATACACAGTAAAGAATCAAGTTATTTATTGAGATATAAATAACACTTCATAACTTAAGTTTTCTATATTACGTTTATAGCTTCTTTGCTTTGTAACAGTAATTTACGTTTACAACTATTTTCGAAATAAATTTATAGATATATATATATATTATATGTAGTATTCGAGAAACACTACTAACAATATAGTATTGCCATTGTAATTCACTTCTTTTGTCAGCAGTTTCTTCTTTTTCGTCTTTTCGTCATCATAGTTGCCAATTACTGTCATTATCGTTGGGCCTGTTGTATTCATATTCTTCTACATTTGGTCAGTCTTCATTTGGCTCTCTCTTTCTGATTGCAACGTAGCGTGTGTGAAATTTATAATAATTACAAATATTTTCTTCAATTTGTTTAGTTATTCTAACCACAATTTTTTAAAAGTACATTGTGGGCGTGATTGAAGGTGAATTATTAAGGAATCATATCGCAGGGAAATTCATAAATTGTTTTGAAAGTATAAAGTTCAAAGAAATTACGATTTTCTTATATTTCCGATTCCCTTTCGTGTCTCGTTAAAATCGGTTGTAATTTCAAGAAAGAAATTGTGCAGTGAGAAGTAAACTATTTGTGGTAACTTTTATAGACGTGCGTGAAAAAATATAAAAACGTGTTAAAGAATAAATATTACAAATTGAAATAAAATTTAATATTGAAAAATGTGAATTATGAACAAATGATACGCGGGTTTATATAGCCAACAGCGACGACAACAGCCAAAAAGTAACAAGAAATTGCGGTAGCCCTAATCGGAATATAATTTTCGTTTAACTACAAATTCTGCCTAATTATAGATGTGTGTTTTTTTTTGCTTTAGTTTATTCTTTGTGCATATGCCTTTAAGGAACTATTAATTAATGTTTTCAAATATAAATCGTGGCAAGGAAAAATTTAATCGCTTGCTTCAGTTGCTGGTGCGTATAATATTTCATTTATCATAAAAAATAAGAATATAAACTTTTCCGTAATAATTTCTATGACCACTTTTTGCACTTGTCTGCCTTTCCTTTAACTCAATGCTGTTTTCTCTTACAATCTTCATATATTCGGCTTCGGTCGCCATGCGTGTTCTTGATTGAAAAACGATCGGTCGTTCTATATATTTGTTGCTTTATTTGGAAACTTATGTACATAATACATACCCATATGTATGTATTAGTGGATAGGACTAGGCGATCAGTTCTTCCGTTCCGCAGTCATTTTATTTCAGTCTTGTTTTCAATTATTCACATAAAATAATTATTGTCATGTACATTATCTGAAAATTTTTCAATTCCCAATCCTTGATGAAAATAAACGAATTTTAAACGATAGTAATTTTTTTCATAAAATAATAGATTGTATTAAAATGAATCCTCTCTAAATGTTACATATTATGCCTAATAGGCCGCATAACGATAGTTTTGTACAATACCAATACCAATAAGAAATCTTTCTGATATATACTTATGGTTTCTTCAATTAACCCAGTCTAAACTTAAGTTTTTGTATAAGTACATATAACTGTGTTTTTTTAAATAAATAAATATATCGTTTGTATAATTGTTGTTTAATATGATTTTATTTTGGTCGAATTCCACCCCTTACCTTAAAATATGTTAAATGTGTTCTCAAGTATCTATATTTAACAGAAAAATTGCGTTTATAGAAAACAAAATTGTGTTTTTAATTCTGTTTTCAATGCATATGTATATAAAAATCAACAACCAAAATAATGATTCATTAAACGAATTGAAAACAATTATATTGATAAGTATTATTATTAAAAAATGACGAATAAGTAGACAAACACGATTTAGCATGTAGTTGACCTTAGCAGAATGGAGCTGGCAAAACTTATAGGCGGTTCGAAATTCTGCAGAATCTAATCTATCTTACAAGAAAGCTATTTGATCCGACAACATATGGAAATGAATCTCTTGATGAACCGTGTACACTTATTAATTTCCCCATCACTTCTGTCCAAGAAAATTATTATTATAATATTTTAATTTATTTAAGTTTTACATATGTAACTTAACATATTTCCTAGTGTCTTATAAATCTTACTTCAAAACCAAAATCTTTCTATTATAATTTTGTGTTTTACTTCAACCCTCGAGAGCTATTGACAGTTGTTACTTCACAGTACTATGTTTGGACTTTGTAACCACTGTACTGAGAAAACATCCTACGCTGGTCGTTGTAACCGGGAAATCCGCTGATTATACTTTGTTTAGTTATTTTTTCTATCACAACCACATGATTTCAATCCGTGATTTACACTCAAATTTTTCTTGTTGTTGTTGTTGTTGATGTAACGGCAGAATTCTGCCGAATTGACAGTCCATGGCCGGATAAAAATCCGGGTCCGTTCCGGTTTTCGTAGACGCGACTGTCGTGGGAACGGCTCAATTTTTTCTTGATTATTGTCGCCTACAGTAATGTTTATGTTCAAACGTTCAACAAATTAGGGTCACCTGTTAAGATTGCTATATATTAGACTAAAAGAGTGGATCACTGTATCTAATTTGCAATAGTGATATGTATTATTTAGTGACGCTATAAGCAACCAAGCTATTATAAATGTCATTTTTGTTGAAATCTGTCTTAATACGATTGCAATTATTTCAACAATAATTTCTCGTACTTCTAATACAATATAATCCAGAAAACTTTTTCACTTGTGAAAGTGTTATATAAAATGGAGTTAAAACCTTAGAAAATTTCCAATTTTATAATTCGACGTTATGTTACAGTCCAACCCAAATGACTAATTCGACTAATGACAGAACTCTGCCGCTACAACAACAACAACAACAACTAATCCGTTCCCACGACAGTCGGGTCTACGAAAACCGGAACGGACCCGGATTTTTATCCGGCCAAGGACTGTCAACTCGGCAGAATTCTGCCGTTACAACAACAACAACAACTAATCCGTTCCCACGACAGTCGGGTCTACGAAAACCGGAACGGACCCGGATTTTTATCCGGCCAAGGACTGTCAACTCGGCAGAATTCTGCCGTTACAACAACAACAACAACTAAATATGAATATCTTTAATTTTTTTTAACAATACTAAAATATTCGAAAATTGGTTTAAGTTAGGGTTACTCAGAGGCACGAAAAAATGAGAATTTTCAGTATATTTTTTTCATTAAATCGTGTTATTTTACAAAAGTAGTAATATGGTATTATTATAGAATGTGTTTTTTGTTTTTCAAAAATCAACAAAATAGCAGGAAACTTTTGTCTAAATTTTTGGGAAATAATCAACAGTTAATTGGTCTTAAAAAATCGAAATTTTTGAAAAAAAAATCCTTCGATCAGGTCCGAGTTTATTATATATTCTAAAAGCTGTATAAATTTCATTGAAACCTACTAAGCGGTTTCCGAGTTACAGTTGTCATCAGTTCAAAAACATAGTTTTGAGAAAAACGCGTTTAAAGTTTCACACTTGTCAAATAAATCAAAAACTAATTATCGGATCAACGTGAAATTTTCAGAGATTATTTTTAAGATATTACACTTAACGAAAATGCAAAAAAAATTCTGACTACCCCTCACCCCTTAATACATTATATTACAAACGATCAATTTAATTATTTTTAACGGAGACACATGCATATTACTTACATTTTATTAATAAATCTAGTTAAATTTAAACCTTAACTTTTAACTAACAATCTTTAATATTATTTCTAATAAAGTCTTGTTATTTTCTTTTTCTCATCTTTGCAGAAATAACCTCACATCTTCATCAAAATGCCAAAAATTAAATCAAATTTATGTTCTGCGAATGTGAATGCATAATTAAAAATAACACAAGAGACCTGTAAAAATATACATATGTGTTATAGCCCAATTCGACTGTGAATGTAAATGTATGACATAGTTCCTATAAACAAATTCTAACGGAAACAATAGTAGTAGCAAAAAAAAAAAATAATAATAATAATATAATGCAACGTAAACACATGGACAAACATTTTCATTAACAGAATTCTTCTAGACGAGTAAAACAACTGAAAATACAATCGACAAAAAGTTTTTCAAAAATTACTTGCAAATACAGTTGTTAATACAATAACTATAATAATATGGATACATAAATATGTATATGAGGATTTTATATTCAGCTGCTAATAAAGCTTGCTTCACTAATTAATAACATCTACATAATATTTAAAAGGATTGGATAAAGTCCACATAATGATGAATTAATTAATATATAAAATGTCTAAAGCATGGATTACTTTTGAATTACACTGTAGTACACGACTTGCATGCATTCATTCACCTTCTTTATTTGACATTATTATCAATATTAACAAAACAAATAATCAAAACACTTCATTCACAGTGGCAAAAAAACAGGAAAAGGCAGCGAAGTATTATAATTTAACATGTACAGAAAAAATTAATAACTTTTAATATTTTGTGATAGCTCCTTTAGATTTTTGTATCACTTCCAATAGTTTTTAGAGCGGACCATAATTTTATCTATTTCCACACTCAAAAATGATATTCACCTTATTTTGCCAACTTAAAACGAACAAAATATCATTCACGTAGTCCTTATAGAAATAATTAACAGAAAACGGAATAAACACAAACTACTATCATTAAGAATAGTTGCACAGTGATTGGTGATTCAAACCAAGCTGTTTACACACTTTAAATTAATTCAATGGTAGCGTCCCTTATACTGCCTGCAATGTACATATGTATATGAAATGTTTATTCTTATTAGTATTACAGATAAAT